GTGGTGGAGGTGGTGGAGGCGGCGGAGGCGGCGGAGGCGGAGGTTTCGCCTTCGATATCGTAGGTGGTGGCGGAGGCGGCGGTACACTAGCCTTGTAATCCTTCTCCGTCACGAACTTGGGCTTCTCGCGCAACTTCTCCTCCAACACCTCAATTTCTCCTTTCAACCTCTCGATCTCCTCGTCCTTCCTCGCCGCGCTCTCCACAGCACGGTCCGCCACAGCCTGCGCGTCAAGTTCCGAACTCTCTTTGCTCTCCTCGCGAGTTTTGAAGCGGCCGTATACACTCTCGAGTGCGCGTTTGAGGAAAAGGGCTTCTTTGTCTTTGACAACGAGGGCGGCTTCGTGTTCTTTCAATGATGCCTTGAGCTGACCCAATTCGTCCATCATGCCTGCCCATCTTGCTCGATCCCGCTCTCGCCGAGCCTTCTCATCCGCTTCTCGCGCTTCAGGTGGTGGCGCGCGGACCTTGTCCAGTTCAGCTTGGAGAGCGAGTACCTGCTTCTCCTTGGCGATGAGTCGTTGTACGACGCCCTGAACGTCTTTACCACCTGCGCGCGGAGTGGAAGGTGATGTCGTCGGCAAAGCACGTAAGGTGGCGAGTTCGGCCGTGGCTGCGTCCAGTTGCTCTTTCAGCCCACTTCGCTCGGCCGTGAGACGCTCGACTTCGGCTTGCAGCCTGTCGACCTCGTGGCCCAGTACACCGTCAGGCGCAGCACCGAGTTCAAGTGATTCGTGCACGATCTCGCTTGCGCGGACGAGGAACCGGCGGATGAGAGCCGACCAGCCTTCGTGTACTGTCTCGTTCACGAGTGCTTCCTCCGTCAGCGCATCCAAGAGCTGCATGAGGTGAACTTTCCACTCCACTCCTGCATCCTCCCTCCCAACCGCTCCGCTGATCCTCGCAAGCAACACATCGACACCCTCTCTGACTTCCGGCATCCCCTTCACAGCTCTTCCCAACTCCACCATAGGCGCCGACACATTCCCATCACCCCCATCACCCGCATACCCCCTCCCCATCATCCCCTTCGCACGCTCAGCAACCTCCTCCTCGTCCTCGAACTTCTCCTCCGCCCACACCTCCATCTGCTGTACCAGTGCCTCAGGCGGTCTGACATAGCGCAACGCGACCAGCGCCTCGTTCAAACCGCGCCGCGCGAGCTCTTCGCGTAGTTGGACACGTTCTTCGAGTGAATCGGGTCCATTGGCGAGGGCATTGAGCAAAACAAGCGTCGCGGCGCGAGCATCCCAAGCATCTGTATCGTCCACGTCCACGAGTGCCCCGTCGGTTTCGACGCCTTCTATGTCTTCGGGCTCTGGAAGGCGGAGCGAGGCGACGAGGGACTCGAAGCGGAAGCCTTCTTCGAATGCGACTTTGTAGTCGCCCCAGGCATTTACGACTGCACGATGTCCGTCGGGGAAGGCCATGACCGCTAATGCTGCGAGTAGCTCGCACGCCAGTGCTTTCGTCTTGTTGCCCACACCTCTGACGCCGGTCGAGAAGGCCACATGTGCGATCAGGCTTGGAGCGGAGAGAACGTGCGCGAAGCCGGGTTCGGTATTGAGCAGCACGCGTAGTGAGCGAAGGAGTTCGTGTAGCGATGTACTGGCCAGATCGCCCAGCGGCGGCGCCCTGCTCCCCTTCCCCACCAACCCCGCCAATAACCCTCCCAACGCGCTCAACCCGTCGCATCCATCCAAAAACTCCCTGATCCACGCCAAACTCGCCGTGCTTAGATGCACTCTGAGGCTGATGAGGTTCTTGACGAGCTTCGCATCCGGACTCGCTCCCCTCGCAGACTTCAACAGTGCAACATACGCTGCGGGAGTCTTGACCTGCGCCTCGACCGCCGCGCCTGTGGCCCTCGACAGCGTCCCTCCAGCACTAGCCCACCAATTCGACCATAACCCCGACGAGCCAGTCTGTTGCGGTTCTAGCGGTGCGATCGCAGGTGAAGAGGACGATGAAGCAGTGGAGTCTTGAGTATCCGTTCGTCGGCGGGTGGTGGAGGGGTTGAAGTCTGGTTTCGCGGCGGGCGGCGTAGAGGGCGGTGTTCCCCAACCTGAGAAACGCTTCATGAGGCCACCTTCGCCGGACGTGCTTCCGCCCGTGAGCTGGGGTACGAGTCGAGGCAGTAGGCTGGCTCCACTACTGGGGCCGAACGTGGCAGGTGTATCGGATGTAGAAGCGGCTTTATCGGCTTGCCGTTGTGCATGTCCGTCGAGTAACAGCCGTTTCCGTGATGCAGGAAGTCGGTACATGTTCTCCCTCGCAGCACCCGAAAGACCCAGATCGTCGAGCATCGCCTCAAAAGCATCCGGATCAGGCTCATCCGGCGTAGTAGCTCTTCGCTCGCTGGACGACGAAGAGTCCATGAGCATCGGTTCGGATACGCTCATCACGCTCATCCTATTCCCGTGCGATATAGGCGGCGAAATGGCTCGTGGCGGTGGAGGGGATGATGGGCCGGGCGTTGGACTTGAAGGTGCTTGACGCAGCCAGCCGTCAAACATCGTTGAGAGGCGGTTCTGGGAGAGCGTAGCGCGCCAGTCACCGGAGTTCGTCTTTGATGTTGACGGGGTGGGCGAAGACGGCGCTGGTGGAGCGTTCTTCTTCTTCGCTGTACCCTCCTCATCTTCTTCCTCTTCATCATCCTCGGCATTGTGTTCGGAAGCCTCTTGCGCGTTTAGAGCGCGTAGAGCTCGCAGGGTGTTGTCGCCGGGCAGCTCGAGCGCGTGGGAGGATGCGGCGGATGTTGTCCGTGTTCGCGAGCGGCGATACCATTCGTCGGGCACGCAGAAGCGGAGGGTCCGGGTTGCCCTTCGGGAGAAAGGTGATGGGCGAGTGGTGTTGGACAGGATAGATGGGAGGTTGGATGTCGGCGTTAAACGAGTCGATTCTGTGAACATGTGTATTAGTATTACAGTTTGACATTGAGGAAGAGTATTGTGGCGAAGACATAGAGGGAAGCATGTGAGGTAGCAGACGAAACGTAAGACGTAGGCAGCATAGATCAGATCAGATGTAGGCGCCGCTTAAGGAGGTAATTGAACAAGTAAGGAACATCAAACACCAAACGGGGATCGGGGATAGGGAGACGGGGCCACACCTCGAGATCAGACGAATGTCCACTCACTCTCCGTATCCTCCTCCGTCCAAACCTCCTCAATCACGTACTCCAAGCTTCCACCTCCAGGAATGGGTAGCGTCTTCGTCAATCCCAACTCGTCGACAACGGCCAATATGACGTCCTGAACAGTTGTGTTCCACGCGAGGAAGACCTTCCAGGTAAAGCTGTCATGTATCTCCGGCACTCTTGCGAAAGACAAGTTGACGCATAAGTTGGGGTGTAGAGATATGAGCCGTAGTGATGGTGCGTGAAGGTGAGATGTGAGGGCGAAGGCCGAGAAGGCGCGGACGTTGGCTGGGTCGGCCGTCTTGGCGATGAGCGGCTCTACGGGCGCATTATCCCGTAGGATTCCATCTCCCAGCCCGTTCAACTCTTCCTCCTCCCATTGTCTCCCGTTCTGTTCTGTCCTGATCCTCTGAATCGCCCAGCCATTATCCTGGTATTCGTTTCCTAGGACATCCCGTACAACCTCAGAACGGGAAGTCAAAATAGATATGACATCAGAGATAGTAGCCGTAGAAGGCACAGTGGCAAAGTGAAGAGCACCCGTGGGGAGGAGAGTGGGCACGATCAGCTCGCCCATCGTCGCCGTCCATGTCCATGACGACTTCGCCTCTCGGTTCCAGAGGCCTGGCTGACTCCGGAGATACCGGCCCGAGAACGCGTTGTAACGGCGTGACCGTTCGCGTCGCCTGCGCGTCTTTCTCTGTTGGTTGTCCTTGTCTCTCGCCCAGCAGGTGTCAAGATCTGGAATATCTGTTGGACTTCCTAGAACACCATGGATATTGACGAACCTTCATCCCCGCCGCGTTTGCGCCAATCGTCGCTGCCACCGAGCAGCATGCCCGACCCCACCCCACGCTCGACGACGGGCAGCAGCCAAGGCGGCGGCACACCCGCTCGGCGATCCAGACCCCGTGATGCGCTCGAACTTGACGACGAAGGTGCCGGCGCGCAGGACACCAATGATGATGCTCAGGCCGCCAGCCAGCGTCGCCGCCGTCGCGCACGTGGGAACGCGAATCAATTGGACGGGAGCGTGCCGATCGTCAAGGACGCAATCGGCGAAACGCTCGCAGACGAGTTTTATCGCTTCCTCAAGACGTACGTATTTCCGGTATATATATGGAGACATAGTATGCTGAATATACCTACAGGTTTACCGAAGATGTCGCGTTGCCTGGCACACCTCGTTCGGAAGATGACCTGCCCGTAGCGGACGACGCCTCTTTGATCTACATCGAGCAGATCCACCTGATGAAGCAACACAAGCTCTCAACTCTCTACGTCGACTTTTCCCACGTACGGACTGCAAACGAAGTCCTCGCCGAAACTATTGCATCAAAATACTACCGCGCGATGCCATATCTCAAACGCGCTGTCGCCGATCTGGTGGCAGAATACGAGCCCACTTTTGTCGCCGAGAACCCGAACCAGGCCGTAGGCGGCAGTCTGCACTCGTTTGCGAGGGACTTCGCCGTCGCGTTCTACAACCTGAAGTTGGTGTCGGCAGTGAGAGATCTGAGGACGGACAGGATTGGCACGTTGATGGCTATTTCTGGGACTGTCACACGCACGAGCGAGGTTCGACCTGAGTTGCTCTACGGCTCTTTCGTATGCGAGGCATGCGGTGGTATCGTCTCGGACGTCGAGCAGCAGTTCAAATACACTGAGGTACTTATTCCGACTCCCATCTTGGTACGAGTGCTGACTGAATGCCCTCCTTTCTCAGCCCTCACTCTGCCCGAACGTCACCTGCGGCAACCGCACAGCTTGGCAACTCCAACTCGACACCTCCAAATTCACCGACTGGCAAAAAGTCCGCATCCAAGAAAACCCAAATGAGATTCCCACAGGCTCGATGCCTCGATCCTTGGACGTCATCCTCCGCGGCGAGCTCGTCGAGCGCGCCAAAGCCGGAGACAAGTGCGTGTTCACTGGCACCTTCATCGTTGTGCCCGATGTCAGCCAGCTTGGGTTGCCTGGTGGGAATCAGGCGCAGTTGCAGCGCGAGGCGGCTAGGAGTGGCGGTGCGGGCGCTAGTGCAGCAGGCGCCGGTGGGGCCGGCGTGACGGGTCTCAAATCCCTCGGTGTACGCGACCTCTCCTACCGCACCGCCTTCCTCGCATGCATGGTTCAAGACGCCGACGGCCGCGCCGGCGCAAACGTCCGCGGCGAATCCGAGGAAGTCTCCGGCGAAGCCTTCTTCAACTCCTTGACCGAGCCCGAGTTCCGCGAGCTTGCCTCCATGCTCGAGAACCCGCACATCTACGCCGCTCTTGTCGAGAGCATCGCGCCTACGGTGTACGGGCACGAGCTGGTGAAGAAGGGGTTGCTGTTGCAGTTGCTCGGTGGAGTGCATAAGGAGACGGCTGAGGGTATGAGGTTGAGAGGGGATATCAACATTTGCGTTGTGGGCGACCCGTCAACGTCAAAGTCCCAATTCCTCAAGTACATCTGCTCCTTCCTCCCTCGCGCCGTCTACACCTCTGGGAAAGCCTCCTCCGCAGCTGGTCTCACGGCTGCTGTGGTGCGCGACGAAGAGACGGGCGAGTTCACGATTGAAGCCGGAGCGCTCATGTTGGCGGACAACGGCATCTGCGCCATAGACGAGTTCGACAAGATGGACGTCGCGGACCAGGTCGCCATCCACGAAGCGATGGAGCAGCAGACCATCTCCATTGCAAAAGCCGGCATCCACGCCACGCTCAACGCACGCACGTCCATCCTCGCAGCGGCGAACCCTATCGGCGGGCGCTACGACCGTAAAAAGTCGTTACGCGCGAACATCAGTCTCAGCTCGCCCATCATGTCCCGTTTCGACCTCTTCTTCGTCGTCCTAGACGAATGCGAACCCCGTACGGACCTCGCCATAGCCCGTCACATTGTCGGCGTGCACCGCTTGCGCGACGCCGCTATCCAGCCCGAGTTCTCTACCGAGGCTCTGCAGCGGTATATCAGATACGCGAGGACGTTCGCCCCGCGGTTGACGCCCGAGGCGAGCGATGTGCTTGTGGAGAAGTACAGGATATTAAGGAGCGAGGATGCGAGTGGGAACGGGGCACGGAGCAGTTTCAGGATCACGGTTAGGCAGCTGGAGAGTATGATCCGGTTGAGCGAGGCTATTGCGCGCGCGCATTGTTCGGCCGAGGTCGGTACATCCCACTCATCCTATTCTTGAAGGTGAAGCTGACGTGTATATCGTATAGATCAAGCCGATGTTTGTACGCGAGGCGTACGCGCTACTCAAGCAGTCCATCGTCCGCGTCGAAGAAGACGACATCGACTTTGATGAGGAAGAGTTGGCGGGTGAGCGGCCCGGAGACGCCCGGCCTCGTGCCGACGGCACGCAGGACGAAGAGACGCAAGATCAGGACATGGAGATGGACACCGAGCCAACCGAGCCTCTATATTCCGGTACAGGCCATGCCACCTCATCATCACACGCCCAATCCTCAGCCATGGACGAAGATTCTCAACCGCAGCACGAGCAACCGCAGCAGAAGAAGCGGATGGTCATCACGCATGACCGGTACATGCAGATGCAGTCCTTGGTCGTATTGCATTTGGCGCAGGTGGAGCGTGAGACGGGACATGGGCTCGATGCCGATGCGTTGACGGACTGGTACCTCGAGCTGAGAGAGGAGGTTATCGAGGATCTGGATGAGCTTGAGAGGGAGAAGGAGTTGTTTGGGAAGGTTTTGAGGAAGCTTGTCAAGGTATGCTCTTCTTTCACCACTGCGCCCTCTTACGGAAACTGATGTCGTTTGTAGGACAGCTACCTTATCACGCTTACGGATACGGTCCAGAGCTCGTTGCCTCAAACCGAGGAGGACCAGGGTCCGGCGCCCACGAGCGAACATGTGTTCTATATGGTCCATCCGTCGGTCGATACCGACAGCTCACAGTAGATGCGTGCTTGAATGGACTCTGTCTGAATGTGCCGCTGTGCTTGTATCGCTTGTATCGCTTGCAGTCTTCTTGTGTAGTTGTTTCTTGGGACGACTGCGTCGTCCGTGTATACCATCGGTTTCACTTGGCTGTTCCCAACATTGATAGGGCCGTGGCGCTCACCCAATCCATTGATTCGTGAGCTAGGAGGGAGTCTGTATACAGCTTCTATAGTATGTTACAACTTTGATGCTGCCGGCGACGGCGCCATCTTCATATGCAAGCCCGTAGCAATGAGCCGCTTGTTATCCGTATCCCATATCTTAGTCTTCGCATCAACATATGAACTAGCGCGTTGAATGAGTCGTGTACTTACCTCACAGCGTGCCGAGGAAACTCGCGCACCAAGCGTGATGGTCAGGTTCACGATGCGTATCCTGCATCCAAGTGGTGCCGGCGCGTGGTAGACCATGTCGATTGCTTGTGAGACCGTACCAGGTTTACCGGCTGCCGCTAGAGCGAGCGAGGTGCAAATGTCGACGAGGTATGCTGAGCACCCTCCGTGCATGCTACCACCCGCGTTCACCATATCTACGCCATGCCGTAATCAGCTTCACCGTTCCAACGTACGTGAGAAACATCAACGCACCTGGCTCGACAGTGGTCTCGAACACAACCTTCCACTCCGACCTACTCTCCTCCTCCTCCTTCCCCCGCACATTGACCTCCAACAACCTCAACCTCCGCGCCACGTCAAGCGCAAAGCCCTCCCTGTATCCCTCACGGATGCCGAAGATGGCGGACATCATCCGTGCGAGTGAGGCTTTTGCTTCTGGCGGAGCGTTACCGGGTATCGAGAGCATGCTGCGTTCGGCATCAGAGATTTCGGCTGCCGAAGGAGGTGCAGAAGAGGTTGCGGAAGACATGGTGGGTACGGGAAGAGAGTGAGAAGTCTGGTTGGCTGAAAGCTACGACTGAGGGCTTGAAGGCCGGATGAGGCACACCGGATACCCGAAGTTATCACGAGTGGCACCAGGTTCTGAGTGGCAGGAACACCCGCCTATAGACCGTCTACATACCAGACTGTGTCCTGTCACTGGCGTAGTATACCGAAGCATAATGTACTCCGCGTGCGCAAAAGGAGCAAGGCATTTGAGTTCAGAAAATGTCGTTCGCTTCAGTGGTGGGAGCGCGGAACAAGCGCGCCTAACAAGCGGTGCTGGGCTGTGTGGGAATATGTGGGTGCCCGTCTACACGCCTCTGAGACTCAGGGCCCTCGCGCCCCGCCATCTCGCTACGCTTGATCCCAACTCCCATCTTGCGCACATCTTACTCTGCCTTCTTGCTCACATCTTGTCTTGACAACGCCATTATGGATTTCCGACAGGGTGCTTCGGATTCGGATAACCCACAACCGGCGGGACAGTCGGCGACGCGACCAATAGTTGACCCAGGACCGGAGCCAGGATTACGGGACGTACTAGGCTCTCTCTGGCTACAGGCTCTGCGAAACTATAAGGCCAAGACCGGTGTTGACCCGTTGGAGGATCGTCTTCTCAAGGATCTGGCTGGTCGGAACGACGTGAAAGGCATTCTTGAAGTCTTTGACAGGCGGATGCGTGATTTCAAAGAGTTTCGTGCCAGTGACACCAAATGGGGGAAGCTACGGGACAAGTACCTGATACCAGCCGTGCACACAGTTCTGACTCTCACCGACGCGCTAGCTGAGGTGGCATCCTTCTTTGTATGTCTCATGGCGTCGAGCTATTTCACTACGTTGTCCGCATGCTGAACGACCTATAGCCTGTCGTACCCGGTGGGAAGGCAATCTTTGTGGCATTTGGCGCCCTCCTTGCAGTAAGCCCGCATATTAAGAGTATTACGCATGCACTGACATATTCTCTTGTTGTGGCTTAGGCCACGGAGGGTGTTTCAAATCGTTACGACGCTCTCTTGGAACTGTTTGAGGAGGTGCCCTTCTTTCTCGAAGGCGTCGATGTCCGCGCTTCCGAACCCCAAAACTGGGGCACTCCGACAAGAAGTGTCGCCATAGCGATTCTTGTGCAGCTTCTTGATATATTCTCTCTTGCTATTCAAACGACGTCTGGTCCATGGCGGCGCCTCGGTACGTATCCAGGGTGTGTGTGTGTAGCCAACTCACTGATCTGTCGCGAGCGCAGTTCAATATCGAAAGAGCCTTGTAGGATCAACGGATATGCAGAAAGCGCTAGCACACATGAAGGGTCTTACAGTATTAGAGACGCGGGCTATGGCATCTGAGACTCGTGTGATTGTCGCCAACGTTCAGAGAGAGATACAAGATCTCCTTTCCGCAAACGACGGTGTGCACCGTTTCTGCTCGCAGCCACCTCTACTCACGACGATACACAGCGTATGCGATCTTACTCAAAGACGTCGTTGGCAAACTCGAAGGTATGTTTGCCAACACTGCAGCTCTTCCCCCCTTTGAATTCTCGAGCAGACGCGAACCATCAAGTGGCGGATGAATATGGCCAAATACGTGCCGGGCGAATAAGAGAACAGCAAGAGGCATGTCCCTTTATTCATTCATGTGTTCTGTTTGCCGACGTCAGGTAGCTTGAGCAGATTCGGCGGTCACAAGCCGAGGCTGCGGAAGAAGGTGCGATATCATCTTTTCATACCACCAATAAGCCACCGCTGAAGTGTCGTCGTTTGGTAGCTACCTTGGCTCGATTACAACGTCTCGATGTGGCCGATCTTACTTCGCAAGCTCGATCTGGCTGTCTGGAAGGTACCCGCCTTACTGTCCTTTCGGACCTAGATGCTTGGAGCCGTGAGCCAGACGCACCGCGTGTCTACTGGGTCAATGGCATGGCTGGGACAGGGAAGTCCGCTATTGCCCGGACGTTTGGCCGCAGGCTGTATGACGCCAAGATGCTCGGCGGCAGTTTCTTCTGCTCGCGCGAGAGTAACGTCGAGCAACAGAACGCAAAACGAATCATACCAACTCTGGCAGCTGCATTAGCTGGACGCTACATGAAATATAGAAGTGCTCTTGTGAAGTCACTCATGGCTTCCGCGGCCGAGCCGTCTCCTGGCTTCTGGGGAGTTGCGGAACAAATTCAACGCCTATTAGTTGAGCCATTTGCCTGCTTCGTCGATGACGAGTATCCGTGTTTTGTTCTGGTCGTGGATGCGCTTGATGAGACGGAGAGTGGCACAGCTCAAGAACTGGTTCAGTTATTGGTCGACAATTCGAAACGACTGCCACTGAAGTTCTTCCTAACTTCGCGCCCGGAGATACACCTGCGCAGGCATCTCGACTCCTTGGATGCCAGTCTACGGCTGCATGACATTGCAAAGGAGACGGTCACGAGTGATATAAATCTCTATGTTTCTTGTCGAATGCATGATATACGCGGACGATTCGAGAGTGTGAAGATTGACTTGCCCACTGGATGGCCTTCTTCCAGCGATGTCCGCATGCTCGCAGACCTTTCCGACCGCCTATTCATCCATGCTTTCACTACGACCGAATATATCGGTGGAGGAGATCCTGTACAGCGCCTTCAGGACGTTCTAAGTGTTGGACACGATAGCTCCCCAAGATCCAACCCCCTGAAGGATCTGGATCGAATTTATGACTTCATACTTGCTTCGGGTCCTGAAGGCGACGATGAGAGAATGCTCATACGTCGCATTCTAACAGCGATGCTTGTGGTGTACCGTCCACTCACATCCCGTGGGATGAGTGTTCTCCTGGGAATACAAGTGTATCAATTGAAGATTGCGCTCCTGCATCTACATGCAGTGATCAATGTCCCTGAAGATGATGATGGGACTCTGGCAACATTTCATGCATCATTTGGAGATTTTCTGACAAGCCGTGCGCCTGATGGCATGAGCATTTGTCCTGTGCAAGGTCATCATGACGTGCTTTCACGATGTCTTACCATCATGTGCACCGCAGAGCTGCATTTCAATATGTCGGAAGCTCAGACATCCTATCTGCCTAATGCAGCACAAAGGTTCATCCCCGCCCCTGCTCATGTCGAATATGCATGTACCTTCTGGCTTGACCATATGCTCATGTTAGATGGGTTGAGAGATGCATCGGGCTCTCAGTCATCTTGCTTGGACATGGCACCCGTCTTCCTTCAATTGGAAGGGGTCCTGTCATATAAACTATTCTTTTGGCTCGAAATGTGTAGCATGCAGGGTATATGTCATTCATTGAAGAAGCGATTTCATGATCTGCTACAGTCTCAGATATTCGTATCTGCGCCCCGCTCTCTCCAGCGATTGTTCTATGACATCCTAACCATCCTGAAAGGAGCCGGTGAGGCCTTAAACTTCTCTGCCCCACATGTTTACATGTCGATTATTCCATACATCAAGCCTGATTCACTGCTAGGAACTAGGATGGCGGGACTTTTCTCACGATTGCCCTCACATAATCTGATCCCGACTGCTCAACATACTGAGACCGTTCATGCGGTTGCCTTCTCACCTGATGGCAGTCAGTTTATATCTTATCCAGGTCACAATAATTGCATCACTCGATGGCAGACCGATACGGGAGAATTGTTGCAAAGTCTCATGGAATCGCCCGAGGTCATAGCTGCCATCGCGTACTCTTGGGATGGATATCATGTTGCATCTATATCGGCTATCGGGAGCCTCTGTATCTGGAGGTCTGACAGTCTTGCCTCCGACGCTTCCTTCCGAATGGTTTCTCGGGTATCCTTGCGTACATTTCCACAATATGTGGGACTATCATTTCTGAAGACAGGTCTACTGGCTGTTATGAGTCTTTCGGGAATCTTACTGTGGCCTTTATATCCGCCATCTGGCCCTCAAGGTCGATGGTCACCATTCTACCCTGCCGTTGCAGTTGCTGTTTCGTCAGATGGAAGCCTTTTTGCCATGACTCTCGATAATGGTGACACCCTGGTGCGAACTCGCCGAGGGTCACTCAAATTTGAGCTCAAAGCGCGGACCCTGTGCGTCGGTAGAACCAGTATTTCGTGTGATAGCCTGGTTTTCTCTCCAGATGATAGTCGGTTGATTGCTCATGATCGCTATGACGAGGTTCGTATATGGAGTATGCGTACTGGTGACCTCATACGCGAACTGTGTCGTACTACCGACCGCGGTCATATAACGAGCATCGCAGTTTCTGACCGGCACATTGCTCTGGCTTACAGCTCGGCTATTCTGCTGTACAACGATACCATATACGGAAAAATGCAACGGCGCATAACCGGGATCAACTCCGATATCAAGTGCTTGGGCTTCTCCTCGGATGGATCTCGTCTGCTGTCCGGATCTGTTGATGGAAGTATCAATGTTTGGAGCATCAATAGCGAAGATTGTCTGAAAGGTCAGTGTCCGGTGTCTTCGGTTTGGGGATTACTCATAGCTTATCGCGTCTGTCTAGTGATGGACGATCGGTTTAACCACTTCTATCTTCCCGGCGCTGCTCAGGGTCATCGACAACCCGCGTCAGACTGGCTACGCGGATCGCAGGGAGAGCTACTCCTATTCGTGCCGAAGGAGTTACAAGGCTATTTTCAACACCCTCCCTGTCAGATGCGGATGTCAGGTTATCGGTTCACCATCAATTGGGACGGGGCCGTTCACGGCAAAGATTGGACAAGATGCTATGTCGGGCCTCACCTTATGGAGCTCATATACCCGTCGCGGCGTCTTTCAGCTACGCAGAAGTAGAAGGGCCGTGCAGACTGCGTGCACACATGCGAGTGAGGTAGCAGTGTCGCGGTTGTGACGATCAGACAATGCAAGAGGTTGAGTGGTGGGCGACCGTGGGATGAGATCACGGATGGTAGGGAGAACGAGCCGTTGCAGGAGTCGCCAGTGTGTAGATCGCATCGGTATCTCTATGATATGATCAGCATTTCAATACCCCAATCTGGTTTTAGGTCCATTAAGTGTGCATTGGGATCCTCGCCGTAATGAACCCTTTCGTCGGCGTGGTGGTGGTGAAAGTGCAGAACACGAAGCGGTATCTCCAGGGTCCAAAACTGACGTCAGGTCAGGCTCCGTTGAATGATTGCGCCCCTCCGGGGCATCATCGGGACTGTATGTCAGGATGGTTATACTCAATGTAGACCCTTGTTTAAACAACTTGATACATTATATTCATTGCATATCATCTACACCGTGATCTACGAGAGGTAGGCGCCGAGAGACGTGGAAAGTGAAGTGAGCGAGGGTTCGGCGTACGACCTCCGCTCTATTCTTCTGGTGCCGTGTAACACTCGCCTGCCAACACCACGACAACCGTCGCCGTGCTTCTCACACCACTCGGAATCAGCCACTATTTCCGGCTATGACAGAATCCCCGCCCTCGTCCTAGGGCTGAAGATGAGGGCGGGCTTTTCCTTCCGCGTGCTGATAAGTTCGCACAGGGCGTCAAGGTCCCCAGGTCTTCAGAATGAGATATTCGCTGATATGCGGTAGTAGTTGATGGACTTATTGAGGACGTGGATGCGTATAATGTCCCAATCCCGGCCGGTTCTAGTGCGGATCAACGCTACGTTCGCCACAACACAGACAGACTTACCCATGCGCGTCCTTCCTAATACAGTTGCGATGTCGCGTTTACTCGTGAACTCCAAGAGCGCGTTGGCGGTTCGTGAAGGGCTCGATATGTGTGAGAGCAGGTTCATCACATCCACATCCTCTCCCGACGCCAATAGATCTACCGAGAGGGACAGAGACGGGCTGTGCGCCGAACGCGGGCGCTGCGGTAGCCCCTCCAGATTTTTACCGGACCGACGCAAGGTACGGAGTACTGTGATGTTCGAAGGTTGAGCAGGAGGTCAAGAGCGGCAGAACGTGAGCAGAGTCCGCAGTCTATTCGCTGTCAATGTCGGCGCTCAGGCTATGCAGCTCCACGTGCCCGAGCTGGGGAGGGTGGGTTTCGAACGTTGTGAGAAAGCACTATTGCCTGTCGATCCTGCTTCAACTTATTGTAATAGTACATACCGTGCGACCGCTTCCGAAGGAGCACTGTTTCCGTAGATGTCATTCCGCGGCGGCAAATTCGTGAGCCTAGGTGTCGGGCGCCGCCAGCTCAAAGACTGGATGGCCCACGTCCGGGCGCGGGCGAGCCAAGACGGTTGTGCGACATGGTGAATGCTGAGGTCAATGCGGAATAGTGAGCGTTTGAGGAGACCAGCGAGAGCCTAGTTTACTAAGGTCTGCTCTGGAGACTACCTATTTGCCAGCGAGCATCAAGCGAGCATGGCGAGAAACGACAACGGGCCGTACCCGGGCCGGGCCGCGATGGTTTTGCATTTCGACTGACAAGCCGGTTCTTTCAGCCCCGGAATATGGTTACGCGCAAGCAGGAGCGCCAGTCGCATCTCAATCCCAACCATCATAATTGTTTTATTCTCGTACCCCGTTCTCGGCTACTCGTGACGTGCTTCAGCGTGGGCACATATGTCACTGCTTCTAGAGACGTCTCTGGGGGACATTGTCATTGACCTGGAAGTCGAAGCCTGTCCAAAGACATGCGAGAACTTCCTCAAGCTTGCGAAGGTGTACTATTACAACCTAAACGCGTTCTTCAATGGTACGCAACACTCTCGATAGAGCATCATATGCATAGCTAATATACCTGCGCACAGTATCCAATGACTTTCTCGCTCAAGCCGGGGACCCTACAGCCACGGGCACAGGCGGCGAGTCCGTCTGGTCCTACATCGCCTCTCAACAAGGCAAGAAGGGCGTGCCGCGCTACTTCGCGCCCGAAATCCGACCGCACCTCAAACATACCGAACGCGGGACAGTCTCTATGGCCGTGGCGCCAACAATTGAGGGCCAACCGGTCGGCGGGTGCGGCTCGCAGTTCTTCATCACGCTTGCGGACGGGATTGAGTATTTGGATGGGAAGCACGCCGTTTTTGGGCACGTGGTGGAGGGACTGGATACGCTGGAGAAGTTGAACGACGTATTCGTGGATCAGGAGGGGAGGCCGTTCAAGGATGTCAGGATTAGACATGTTGTGGTACTCGGTGCGCCACAAGCCTCTACACGAATATTCTACATACTGATACATTATAGACGACCCCTTTGATGACCCTCCAGGCTTAGTAATCCCCGACGCCCCTCCCACCAGGCCACTGGATAACTCGAACCGAATAGCAGAAGACGAAGACGCGCTTCAAGAAATGCCCGAGGACGAGGCCGAAGCCGAGCGGCGCAAGAAGGCCGCCGCAGCTAGCGCGCTAACGCTCGAAATGGTCGGCGACCTTCCCTTTGCGAACGTTCGCCCACCCGAGAACGTGCTGTTCGTCTGCAAGTTGAACCCTGTGACGCGCGACGAGGACCTGGAGCTGATATTCTCGCGGTTCGGAGTTATCATGAGCTGCCAGGTTATTCGGGATAAGAAGACGGGCGACTCGTTGCAGTATGCATTCATCGAGTTCGATAAACGGGAGGATGCCGAACAGGTAAAAGGCCCTCGTGTTGTGACAGAGTGCATCACTGACGTCAGAACAGGCGTACTTCAAGATGCAAAACGTCCTCGTCGACGACCGCAGGATATGGGTAGACTTGTGCGTCCTCATCTCTTCGTGTCCATCTATACGTTCCCGTCACTCATACACTTGTACAGCTCCCAATCAGTTGCGCGCCACAATACAGTCTGGTCCAACGACATCACCCGCGGCCCAGGAGGCGGTTTCGGGGGTCGTGGCGGGCGTGGTGGACGCGGAAGGGGTGGCGGAGGTAGAGGGGGTTTCGGAGGTCGGGACGACCTCGAGGCCACGAGGAGATACCGCGACGCCGACACAGGTCGCGGCGACCAGTATGGGATGGTCTTCGACGTTCCCGGAGGTGGTCACGGGCATGATCGACCGCGGAAACGCAGTCGCAGCCCCGCTAGGGGCCAGGATCGGGACAGGGACCATAAGCGCCGCGAGCGCTCAAGGTCCCCTAGGCGGGACGAGCGACGAGAACGGAGACGGAGTCGAAGCAGGGACTACGACCGGCGCAGGAGAGATGACCGGGACCGGGATCGGCGATACTAGTACTCACGCGTGCGTGCCCGATGTGCCGTTGAATGCTCAATATAGTATGTTCTGTGTTCGTACCGCAGATGGTTGCAACAGCAGCTGAAACCCATCTTGGCTTCTTAGTGCTGGTCACCCTGCGCAACCCGAAACAGTGGCTGTGGCCCTTCGTGACCTCAGGGTATATAAGGGCAGGGCGCTTCACGTCGCATAGGGTATATTCCCTCAAGCCATGTCGTCTACACCTACTCTGCATATGACCGACGAGTCGTCTTATAACGCGGACGTCGTCCTCCGCTCTTCTGACGGGGAGCAGTTCAAAGTGCACAAGACTGTGCTCTCAGCCGCATCTCCATTCTTCAGCACGATGTTCTCGCTCCCACAACCGCCGTCTACCCCGCAAGACGAGCTACCCGTAATCGACATGCCGGAGGCCGCACATACCTTGCAATCGCTACTACGCTTCATCTATCCAACACCCGATCCAGATGTCGATGGCTTCGAAAACATCACAGATCTGCTCATCACGGCGGACAAGTACGAGTTCGACGGCGTGATAGCAACACTACGTTCTTCGCTCATCTCACCGCGCTATCTCATCGAGGATCCCCTGCGGGTGTACGCCATCACAACTCAATTCGACTTCACACCCGAAAACAACATCGCCGCGCGCGGTACTTTCCGTATCAAGCTCGAGAACTTCAACCTCCCTCCCGATCTATACGGCATGAACCCATCCGCTTTGACCAGACTTGAACGACTCCGCCTTCGTCATACCCAGAATCTCCAACGTCTCCTCATCATGCCATCTCTATCTTCATGCGCATCCTGCAACGGTTACAACGCCGGCGTTCCAGCTTCGACTGTCATGTACGGCCCGCCGAGATGGTGGACTACATGGAAGACACGGGCAAAGGGTGAACTGAGAGAAAGACCCATCTCGGACGTGATCTTCGAGGATGAGTTCATGGGAGAGGTTGGGAGGGCGTGTGGGTGTAAGGATTGTGCACAGAGCATGGAGGGGTCCGTGGAAGGGATGGAGGAGTTGAGAAGAACGTTGGATGAGTTGCCTTTGGAAGATGTCGATGAGCGATGTTGGGCTGTACGTTAGGTGTCTGTGATGTTACGAACTTTCTTATCTATGCGCTTTTTCCGCGGTCCACATCTGGGAGCGGCGATAACTTGTCAATCCACCCACCATACAGCTATCGAAGCTAGGATTCGGACTCGCCGCGCGTAACCTACGCTCTCGCGTTATTACGTAGATATGCTCTATCCAACATGTAACGCCGCATAGTGATACAAACAGTCCTACTGAGATATACACACAATCTATATATCTCCACTTCGATCGACGGACCGGAAGGGTATGTCTAGAATGCACGACGGGCCGACGACTGATGCGGCCGGAGCTCACGGCATCCCGCCAATAACGATACTCGACTCATCTGGACGCCGGCCTCGGAAGCCATATATCGCAAGTTCGATCGCGCTCGCCGATACTCTACCATCGACCGCCATGGCCTCCGCTCAGCTGCACAACGCCAAGATCCCTACGATCGACAATGAGCCGATGGTACGTTCTCGTGGTGTGGCGCCGCGCGCTCAGATGCTCAATGTTCGCGTCGATCTTCTAGCACGGTTATGCGCCGGGATCACCTGAGCGCGCTGGGCTGCTCGCGGCGCTGAAGGAGATGGAGCAGAGCCTTCCCTTCGAGGTTCCGCTTGTGATCAACGGCAAGGAGGTGCGCGATCCGTCTGTACATCTCACAGATCAAATCTCAACATACGCTTTTCGTTCGGTCCATAGGTTAAGACTGGCAAGCTCGGCTCGCAGCCGATGCCGCACGACCACTCTCGCAACCTCTGCACGTACCACGAAGCCGGCGAGGCAGAAGTCACCGCCGCGATCGAGGGCGCGCTGGCCGCAAAAGCCGAGTGGGAGGCCACTCCCTGGCCCGACCGTGCCGCGATCTTCCTCAAGGCCGCGGATCTGGTCAGCAAGAAGTACAGGTACCAGATCATGGCTGCTACCATGCTCGGCCAGGGCAAGAACGCGTGGCAGGCCGAGATTGACGCTGCTGCTGAGGTGCGCGCTGTTTCGTTGCTTGACGCGCGCGTCTTTTGATCTCCAACGGCCATCTGATCGTCGCTTCGGGCAGCTCTCGGACTTCTTCCGCTTTGGCGTCAAGTATGTTGAGGAGCTTTACGCTCAACAGCCCGTCAAGAACGCGCCTGGCGCCTGGAAGTGAGCCGGCGTGACATTCTGTACTCTATAGGATCCTAATATCTGGGTAGCCGTGTTGAATACCGTCCCCTAGAGGGCTTCGTTCTCGCCGTCTCGCCCTTCAACTTCACCGCCATCGGCGGTAACCTCTCCGGCGGTTCGTGCATCTCAGCATCATTGACTCTCACAGTCCGCTGACGGGCGCCTCCAGCACCTGCCCTCGTCGGAAATGTCGTCGTATGGAAGCCCTCGCCCATGGGCACCTACTCCTCCTACCTCGTTCACAAAATCCTCCTCGAGGCCGGTGTCCCCGCAGGCGTGATTCAGTTCGTACCCGGTCCTCCAGCCGAAGTCGTCGCGCAGGCCATCGACCGCCGCGAGTTTGCCGCTCTGCACTTCACCGGCTCCACCTTCGTCTTCCGCCAGCTGTGGAAGAACATCGCGAACAACTTGGACAAGTACATCTCGTACCCGCGCATCGTCGGTGAGACGGGTGGGAAGAACTTCCACTTCGTGCACCCGTCGGCCGACGTGAAGAATGCTGTCAACCAGACTATCCGTGCGGCGTTTGAGTACCAGGGTCAGAAGTGCTCTGCGCTGTCGAGGTTGTATGTGCCCAAGTCGCTCTGGCCGAGCTTCAAAGAGTACCTCGAGAAGCAGATTGCGAAGATCGAGGTTGGCTCGCCGTTGGAGATGGGCAACTACATGGGCCCCGTCATGTACGTCCCGCCTCATCGGTTTCCGAATGTATAGATGCTGACAGTCGAATAGCAACAAGGTCGCGTTCGACAAGATCATGGGCTACATCCAGAAGGCTCGCGACGCTGGAGGCGAGGTCATCATCGGCGGTACCGGCGACGACTCGAAGGGCTTCTTCGTTCAGCCCACTGTCATCCTCTCTAAGGACCCCCAGTCGGTCACCATGGTTGAGGAGATCTTCGGCCCTGTCATCACTGCGTACGTCTACGACGACGCGGACATCGACAAGACGCTCGACCTCATCAACACGACGTCGCAATACGCTCTGACCGGTGCCATGTACGTTTTCCGCCTGCCTACACCTTGTGCCTTCGCACTGATCTCATCACCTCTATAGCTTCGCATCCGAGCGCAAAGCCCTCATCCACGCAACGTCCAAGCTGCGCCACGCAGCCGGCAATGTCTACTACAACGAAAAGTGCACGGGTGCCGTTGTCGGCCAGCAGCCCTTCGGCGGTGCGCGCGGGTCGGGCACAAACGACAAGGCCGGCTCGATCTCGATCTTCTACCGCTTCGTCAGCGCAAGGAGTATCAAGGAGAACTTCTTGCCGCTCGAGGACTTCCCGTACCCATCCAACTCGATCTAAGCTTGAAGATGGGGTATATGGGAAACGGACTGAAGGAGGGTATATATGAATAAATGTAATCGGTTGTTGTATTCGATCAAATGCAAAAGAGCGCGCATGGCGCGGGATGTATCAACAGGAGCAACCAGTACAGTGCGAATCGCTAGGTTCAACCAGAATGGGAATGCGGAAGGAGCTATACACAGTACAGGACGTGAGCCATCGAGGCGGCGTAGAATCGTATGAGCGAGAATATGATGGAGACGAGTGCAGTCAGTGGATCGGTTAGTAGCTAGTGAGCATGTCCTGTGTGATGATTTACAGTCCGGAACAATGGAACGAGTGTGGGGGGTATGAGGGCGAGGTGGGAGCATTAGGTAGACTTGGAGTACGAGCAGGTAACCGAGGAGTCGTCCGCCGAGCAGTCGGTGTAGATGGTATTGTTCATCTTGATGTCGAGGATATCGGCGCCCGTGGGTCCGACGGTGGACCCGTCCTTGAGTGTAGCAGTAGCGTTGGTGAACGTGACCTTGTCGAAGTTGGCAAAGTCGACCTGCGAGCCGTTGGACTCGAAGTCCTCGACGATCCATTCGGCGTTGGTCTCGCAGAGCGCCTGGGTCTGGTTGTTGAAGGTGTGCGAGACCTTCTTACCCGTCGTAGTGTTCTCGATAACGGCTGTGCCGCTCGTGAGAGACGAGGCGGTAACGGTCACCGTTACGCTGTCGCCCGCCGAGAAGGA